CAGGTGTGTAGTCAGGTGTGTAGTCAGGTGTGTAGTCAGGTGTGTAGTCAGGTGTGTAGTCAGGTGTGTAGTCAGGTGTTCAGACTGTTTTTGAAGATGAGTGTTGATGAAGGTGTGATGAGGACCAGGTGTTGCTGATGTCTGAAGTAACTCTGTCCACCTGTCCTGTTGACAGTCTCTTCAGTGAGAAGGGCCCCGTCTTCCTCAGGTAGACCAGCTGTCCACTTCCTGTGTCTCTGTCCCTCTGACCCAGAGTCCTGTCCCTCCACCTCATTGTCTGTTTTTACTGTAATCATTGGTTCGTTGCTTCGTCTCAGACTAGAGCTTGTTGTTTGCTGGACTTCATGTTTTTTTTTTTTTTGCTGCTTTCACTCCCTGTGTTCACCAAGTGTTTCACATGATGAAGATGATGATAATGATGATGATGATGATGATGACGGTCTTTGATTACCAGGTTGGAGTTTGAGAGGCAGCAGAGAGAAGAGCTGGAGAAACTAGAGATGAAAAGGTACAAAATGAGACCAGATTTCAAAGTAAAGCTTCTAGTTCTCTTCAAAATAAGAGTCTGTCTCTTTCATAAAGTCTGTTCTGTTAGCAAAATATCTCACACTCCACTGGACCTGTTTCAGCTGAGTGTTTTCTTCCTGCAGGAGGCTCATCAAAGAGATGGAGGCGAAGCAGCAGAGCGAGAAGGTGGAGCTAGAGCGCCTGCAGCAGGAGGTGGAGAGTCAGCGCAAGGAGTCTGAGGAGGTGCAGCAGCGAATCCTGCGTCAGGAGGAGAGCCTCCTCCACCGCAGCCAGGACATCGACAGCCGGCTCAGGGACTTCCTGGCTGAGAAGGAGCGCTTTGAGGAGGAGAGGCGCTCCGAGGGGGAGGGGGCGAAGCTCCAGCACAGGAGGCGCTGCAAGCAGGAGGAGGAGGACGAGGTGCGGCGGCAGCAGCAGGAGGCTGCGGAGCAGACTGAGATCTACAGGGAGCTGGAGAAACTGAAGAAGGAGCGCACGGAGCAGAGGGTCCGCTTGGAGGCGGAGCGGCGCCGRCTGGAGGAGCAGGAGCGGGAGCAGCTAACTCTGGTGGGGAGGCTGGAGGAGCAGCTGAGGGAGAAACACCAGGCGGCCACTGCCCTGCTGACCCGGGAGGAGGCCCGCCGCCTGGAGGAGGAGCGCCRAGCTCTGACTGACATCAGGGAGGAGCTCCTTAGTGCCAAGGAGGCGGCGGAGCGCCCGCATGTGGAGGACACCAGCAGGGAGGTCGAGTCCGCCCAGAAGCACTACGTGAACTTTAAGGAGGCTCAGGTGAAGGAGCTGGGCCACCTGCAGGAGGAGCTCCGACAGCACAAGGAGTGCCTGGAGGAGGAGGTGGCTGCTGAGAGGAGCTCGCTGCTGCTCCTCGCTCACAGCCTGAAGGAGGTGCAGGACTCCTTGGCCTTCAGCCAGGAGGAGCAGATGGTGAAGCAGGCAGAGCGCCGGCTGCACTTCAAGGAGCGCCAGCTCTCCAACATGGCCGACAGCCTTCTCCCCGCTCTGAGGGAGGAGAAGCAGAGAGCCCAGGAGGTGCTGGAGCACCACGCCCACAACCTGCAGAGCAAGGTTATAAAAGTTCAAGGTTTTTCATTATACTTTAGTTTTATTTAGTTTTCACAGTGGATTTACTAGTTTTATTAGTTATTATTGCATTTTTAATGCTTAGTTTTAGTTTAGTTTAGTATTTATTAGTTCTAGTATTAGTTTTTATAGTTTGAACAAACATATTTGCCAATGCATCCTGCAGCTTGTGATGTTCCTGTGAGTTAACTAAACAACAGTTATTTGGTCACTAGTGAAAGCAGTCCATCAGTGGTGGCACCAGTCCACTAATTACGGACCTAAATATTTTATTTGTGCTTTAGCGGTTTTACTAATTTTAATTCATAAGCAGATTTACACTTTCTAAAATTAAAAAGCAGTACTGCTAATAACTAATTATCTACCTGTCATCATTATGTTGAACAGCAGAAGGTATGACTGTCAATGAATCACAACATGTGATCTATCCAACAGCACCCCTCCCAGATAAACACTCTTATTGTGAAGGTATACATCCTGCTGACTGTTGCTTTGGGTCACGGTTCTGATTTCCCACAATGCTTTGTGTCTGCTTACATAGCAGGAAGCCAACAGCAAAAACAGTTAACGTTTGTAATCCATAATACAATTTTGAATGTTTTGATTTATTTTACTTTACAATCGGAGCTCCTTTTTTAAAAACAAAGTTTAAACAC